TCTATCTATCTATCTATCTATCTATCTATCTATCTATCTATCTATCTATCTAGATCCTGAATGAATTCCACAATGTTACAATTTTACAATTACAATTACAAAATCCATGTTTAATTTGTTATATAAAAGCTAAACTTTCTCTGAATTAAATATTATACATGTGTTAACCTGAAAATAATCCACAAATTTCATATTGTGAAATATAAAATGGGCCACAGGAATGTATTACATCTGAAACAAAACCAATAATTCAGTTGCCATGGTTATTTGATAACAATTAAGGAAGAGTGCCTACAGAGTTTCCCACAATCTTATAGCATATTTATTGGAATCTTTTTTAAAAATTTGATCCAACAACTTGAAAATTGGAGTATGTTCCCAGTTATTTCCTGAATTATACAATAGCACTTTTACAGCAGTGGAATGAATATGCGCTGTTTGTTCAGATGTTGAGTGTAAAATAACTTTTTTTTAACAGAGAAAGTCCATCTCTCTGTGCTGCAGTTGTTATTTTATCTAACACTATAACAACATTTATTTCTTTAGCTTTAGGCTTATTACTCTTACTTTTTTTCCTTTTTTTTTTCCTGAGCCAAACAAATACTGAAAACGCAAAAAGCTAAAAATCTATTAATTAAATTGCAGATTGTTAATATAATGTAGCAATCCCAATATTTCTCTATAGGAGAATCTTTACTGAAATAATACATGTTATTTCAAAGCACACATGTAAAATTGGTTTAATACCGGTTGAATTTTATTGAATGTATTTGCTATTTAAACAAAGGTTTGGGAATTATTGTCCTTTCAGATTTAATCTTTTAAAATATGGTCATTTATTGGCTCAGTATTTCTGTATGATAAGTAGTTGTTTTTCACAAATGGGAAGAATAAATGTAATAATGTAAAACATGTTCATGGCAGTTGACCAGATTTCCCATCAGCAAACAAAATCAGGAATATTACTTGAGTTAATCTGTTTTTGTTCAAAGGCCACTAACCATAATTTACTTCATTTTGATTTTGTTGGCATTTCATTATCTGTTCTTGTAATACATAAGTAAAAGGAGAATTCTACCATAAAAATAAATTTCTGTCCACTCCTTGTGGTCAAATTATTTGAAGAAACACTCCATGAATGTGCACCTGCAAAGTAAACTCTGCCACAAACTCTGCCTTTAAGCTTTTACATAAAATACTCTGACTCTTGGAATTTAGTTTCTGAATTCTAAAAAAGCCTCTTAAGTATCATTGCCTCATTGACAGACCAGTCCTCTCTTGTGACAGCTACGCTTTGAGGGCTAGAGGCCTATGTCAAGATGGTGCTTTGCTAGTTAAATCGGGAATAACAAATTATCTAAGAAATAATAAAAGAAAAACAAGAGGGCTCTGTAAGCAAGCCTGTCTTAAAATAGGGAGTTGCTTTCACTTATGCACATATATAATGAATATTTGTTTGCTTATAAGACATAAGTGAACACAGGCTAAAACCATGAGTCTCTTTTTCTCCTTACATTTCTTCTTTTTCATGAGTTCCAGCTATACTCCAAAGATACTTGAATTATTCATTATATCAAAATAAACAACAGGTTAAACCAAATGATAGAGGGAGAGCTAAATAATGAATATATGCACACAATCTGTATTTAGGTGTGAAGATTGCAAAGAACATGTAAATTATAAGAAGTTGGTTGATGGGCTGAACTGGAGAGAGCATCCAATTCCAGCTTTCCAAACCATCCTGATGCCGTTACAGGTAAAGTAAAATATGTATCCATAACTTTCCAAAAATATAAATCATAATAGTTCAAGTTCTCAAACAAGAGTACAGAATGGTTTGGCTTTACTGCCCAAACATTGCTACTATTTACAAGGAATTTCAGTTTTAATTTTGCACTAGACAACTTGTAACCCTTTGGGTCATCATTTGAGAGATATTTCCTTACCAGATTCCTCAGTACCTTCAAAAATGGCAGAGCTTCTAATGTATTTGAAAGAATACTTAAAACTTTAAGGAGATATTCAGAGATATATGCCTGGAAAGTACCCCTGTTGAACTGTATAGCACTGTCAGACACCAGGAGTTGATCATAGGAAACATTTTATGACATTTGGTATTGTATCATAAAATGCTTTATGATAATTTTTATGTCAAAAATGTTTCATAAAATTTGTAAAATTTCAGTTGCACGTATGTCATGGATTTAGGACAAATTCTATACATCAGCTCATTTGGGTACCTTGGTGGATAATGTTTTCCCTATGATGCACCATTTCACCCAATTAAAGTTTACAGGCATGAGAGTTTTAGTAGCATATAGATTTTAAAACTTATTTATTTTGGCTTCATTACAGTATCTTTCTCTCTGTGTTGGACTGTTAATTAGCTCTACGCAATATTAATGTTTATGGCCTCTACTTGTATACCTAGTTAATTTATACTTTCATAGGCCCTCCATTTTAAAGGTAATAATCCTATGCCCACATAAAGTAGCTTCTCTTTCCATATCTCTGTTGATTTTAAGTTGCTGATTTTAAGTTGCTAGCAGGCTTAATCAGAGTGTGAACCAGGCAAGATTAACTTAAGTTGATTAAGAAAACATATGTTAGGTTGATGAAGAGGTACCCAGCAGATTGCTTTGTTCCAAAAACTATGTTGTAATTTTGGATGTGAAGCTCTATCTATGATTACTTCAATCTGTTCAAACCAGGTCACTAGAATGCAAACCAAAACATGTCTAAATATTAAGTGAGAATGCAGCCTACAAGATCTTATTTAAAATTTCTTATATCTGCTACCATAATATCATGGCAGTGCATCACATTACATAAAGATATAAATAAATAATTATTCAAGTATTAAAAATCACCTTCTACTTGATGAGATATTAATGAGTGTCAGATTTAAGCAGAAATGAAGTGGCCTAGATTAACAAAAGATATGAAACCGATAACTGCAGATTAGGAATCTTTAATTTGCATAACGTTAGTACATTTTCAATCTCAAATTCAGTTTACATATTAATTTCTTTTTAAAGTCAGTATGAACATCCGTATAAACTTTCATGCTCAGCAGCCAGGCTATCAGCATCCTGACAACTGCTTGGCCTTGCTACGGCAGCTCAAGAAATCCCTTTCTAGGAAGGAGAAAGAATCAAGGAAAATATTACAGTTAATAGACGATCAAGGCCAAATGTGCTATGGTAATAAGGAGAAGAAGGCAATTATCCGAGATTTTTATGGACAACTATATAAACAAGAGGATATTGATGAGGAAAAAATTAAACAGTATTTACAAAATGCTAACCTACCTAAGATACCTAAAGAGACTGAAAAAATGTTAGAAAGTACTATAACAATGATGGAATTAAACGAAGCACTTAACAGACAGAATAATGGAAAAGCACCAGGTCCAGATGGGCTTCAGGCAGAATTTTATAAAACACTACAAGAATCATTGAGCATTTCATTGCTAGAAGTCATGAATGAAGTTATGTCAAATAAGAAGATACCTAAAACATGGGCAGAAGCTTACATTACACTTATTCCAAAAGAAGGGGCCGATCCATCACAAATCAAGAACTATAGACCTATTTCTTTATTGAATGCAGATTATAAAATTTTTGCTTCAATTTTGGAAGAAAGGCTTAAAAATATTTAAATAATTTTATTCATCCTGATCAGAATGGATTTCTCCCAAAGAGACAAATCAAAGACAATATGAGAGTAATTCTGGACACTTTGGAATATTATGAGGCGCATCCTGAAAAACAAATGGCTTTGATATTTCCCAAAAGGCATTTGACAATGTGAACTGGAGATTTATGTTACTACTACTGGAACAGATGGGTTTTGCCAGAAAATTTATTCAAGCAATAGAAGCTATATACTATAAGCAAACGGCAAAAGTAATGATAGAGGGAGAACTTACAGACTCTATTAACATAAGAAAAGGCACAAGACAAGGATGCCCATTATCACCTTTGCTATTTGTATTGACTTTGGAAGTGTTGAATAGAAATATTAGAGAGGACCAAAATATAAAAGGAATGAAAATCAAAAAAGAGGAATTTAAACTACAAGCCTTTGCGGATGATTTGGTTTTCATTCTGGAAGATCCTCTAGAGACAGCTTTAAAACTATTGGAAAAGATAGAGACGTACGGTGAGATGGCTGGTTTGAAAATAAATAAAGATAAAACAAAGATTCTGACAAAGAACATGTTATTAAGACAAAGAGAACTGGAAGACCTACTGAAAATTCAAGTCACGAATAAGGTTAAGTATTTGGGGATATATTTGACGTCAAGATGTACTACATTGAAAGAGAATAACTATATTAAACTCAAACAGCAGATAGCACTTGATCTGAAGAAATGGGAAAATCTACAACTGTCATTAATAGGCAGAATTTCAACAATCAAGATGAATATTTTACCCAGAATTTTATATTTGTTCCAAACAATACCAATTAAGCTTGGCAAAGATTATTTTGAAGACTTAAATAAAATTGTGTTGAAGTATATATGGCAAGGCAAGAAAGCGAGAATAAAATTAAAACTTTTACAAGATGCTAGAACTAGAGGAGGATTTGGCCTTCCTAATTGGGAGTTGTACTATCAAGCTGCAAATTTGATGTGGGCCAAAGAATGGATAACATTAAGAAAGACTAGATTGTAGACACTAGAAGGACATGATTTATTACTGGGCTGGCATGCTTTTCTGTGGTATAAGGGAACTAAATCGCAGGGCTATTTTAGAAGGCAATTATATACGGGAGTCTTTATGGTTAAACTGGGAGAAAATTAAGAGACAATGTTATTTGAAAATCCCAGTTTGGTTATCAACTATTGAAGCTTTTTCTTATCCTATAACATACAAGAAGGAACAAACAGTTAGATATGGGGAAATATTGGATGAAAAGGGTGAACTTAAAATGATGCAAAATCTAGAAGAACAAGGTATAAAGATGAATTGGTTTTCATATGCGCAAATACATTCAAGGTATGTTAAAGATTCTAAAACAGAGGGATTCTATGATAAATTGACTGATTTAGATAAGATTTTGACAGGTACTGATGAAAAAGTGATTAAAAAATTATATGGTTATTTACTAGAAATTAAACCAGAGGAAGAACAAGTTAAAGAAACTATGATTGTTTGGGGGAAGAATTTTGGATATGGGATTGATTTAGAGAAATGGCATTGTGGTCTCAAAATTATAAAATGACAATGTCAACAGCATATAAAGAAAATCTGTATAAGATGTTTTACAGGTGGCATTTCCCCCCGACAAGAATAGCAAGAATGTTCAAGAATAAATCTGAAAAATGCTGGAAATGTCATCAGATACCTGGCTCATATTACCATATGTGGTGGACTTGTGAGGACGCTAGAAAATATTGGACTAAAATTCGCATATGGTTGGAAAAAATGACAAAGAAACATATAGATTTAAAACCAGAGATTTTTTATTGGGAATCTTACCTGATACATACAATAAACATTTGAAATATTTGATTGTAAATGTATTAACAGCGGCTAGGATTGTATTTGCTAAAAATTGGAAGAGTGAGAAAATACCATCACAGGAAGAAATTATTAAGAAAATATTGGAATGTGCTGAAATGAGTAGATTGACATACGAAATTAGAGAACAAGAAGATAGACAATTCTATGAAATTTGGGACCTTTTCTATCAATGGCTAGATAATAAAATATAATAATAGAATATTTAGAATTTTAGGAAATAATGAATACATATTTCTTTTTTTTTTCTTTGATACTATTTTTATAAAATTTTATTAAGATAGACTTGGTATGACTTTATGATTTGCTATAAAATGGATTAAGTAAACTATAGTTATCTCGTTAAAGTATGAATTAATAAAATTATAGTTAAATGATTGTTTAATAATGATATCAGGCTATATAATTGTTGATTGACAATATGAGCTATTATGTAATATAACTACAATGGAGACTATGAAATGGATGCACAAAAAAAAGTGGTAAACCAACCGATACACTGTCTGTAAACTTATGAAGGAAAGGATGATGTTTTTACGTTTTATGTGTTTTTGTTTGTTGTTAAAATTAATAAAACTGTTTTCAAAAAAAAAAAAGAAATCCCTTTCTAGGATCCCACGTGGCTGCTGGCCTGCTTCTCCTTACTCGTCGCCATAATGGAGCAAGAGGTTGAGCAACATGTGAGGTTCTGGATGGGGTTGCTGGAGCTGCTGCAAGACGAAGTAGTTATCAGGATGTTGATGGCTTGGTTGCGGGGCTCTCAGATAAGCCGGTGGAGGGCATGGGGGGGGGGCAGTTCCAAACCCCCCACCTTGTTTCATCCTCCACCCCCCACCGCCTCGCTTTGTGGCCACCGCACCAGTGTGTTGCTCAGCCTCCTGCTCCATTATGGCAGCGAGCAAGGAGAAGAAGTGGTGAAGAATGAAGTGAGGCGGTGGGGGGGCAGAGGATGAAGCAAGGCAGTGGGTGCAAAGCTGCCTTACCCGCCCCGCACTGGGTTACCTGAGGGTCCTTCAGCCAGGCCACCTGTGTCAAACCCTCAGCCCTCCAAACCTCCCAGGGCAGCCATATCCCTTCACTAACCTGCTTTCCAGCTCCGTTCGCTGCTGCAACGTGCAGGGCAACAAAAGTAGTCTAGGTACATGGTAAAAAAAATAGTTCAGACTTTCCAACTTCTCACCAAAAAAAATAAGATCTCGCGAAGTTGGAAGGGCTGAACTATTTTTTTTTTTACCGTGTGTCCACAGACTACTTTTGTTGCCCTGCATGTGGCAGTGGAGAACTGGGTCTATGTGCACATGGCCCCCCCCCCCGGTTTCTTTGCGCACATACGTACACTGGGATGGCATGGGCCGAAGAGACGCGGCCAACCCCTTACAGTTTCCAGGATGACTGCACGGGTTGCATCTGTCCTCATCACAGGCCGCATCTGACCTCATTGCAGGCCAGATCCGGCCCGCAGGCCTTGACTTTGACACCCCCGATTTAAAGTGTAGAAATCTATTCACTTGCCCCTTAATATTTTCATTTTATTTAATTATCACATTTAGAAACTGCACAGAGGAACTATGCAAGGAGGAAATAAAAACCATACTGTTTCCAGATTAAACATTGTATCACCCAGTTATTTAATAATTTGTATTCTACTTTAAAATAGAACATACATAATGTGTCTTCCTTATTAGTATTTCTCCAGGGAATTCTATCTGATTGTCTTCTGTTCTCATTTTAATTTTTCTTGGATGGAGATCAGTCTCTCTCCAGAAGAATATTAGATTGAGGAATCACACTGACAATCTGTTTGTCTAACAGAGCATTCCCCCCTCCCGATTATTAAGAAGATTGGCCAGCACTGTCCTTTCCCTAAGCAGGCCAAAGAAATATACAGATAGTCATGATGTCAGGGAATTGCGCAGCTGGCGTCCAAATGAGGTTGAAATGAACTTGTAGTTTTATGTAATTAAATACATTTTACATCTGTATTTACATCAAGTAAGATAGACACATCACTACATCATGAAGTAAATCATCAGGTAAATCAAAGAGCACACAGAATAAAAAAGCAGAAAAAAAGGGAACCGCCCCCCACCTCTCCATCTGGAGAGCACTGAAAATTATAATGCAAATATATGGTGTATAGTTTTGATAGAAACAAAACTGCAATGCTTGCTAGTATTCAACATCATTTCTAGTTACTGTCAATTTCACAGTGCAGTTCTAAACCTTCTTACCCTTTGCTTATGCTTTCAGTATGAAGATCGATGGAGTGGGGAGCCACCAGCACTTCCAGTGAAAAAAATAAAATACCTACCATTAATAGAAGATGTCTTTGGCAGCAAAGATTAGCCTTAGTCCATACATCATACTTCTTATGGATAAACATTGCAATTTTCTCTTTCTGGACAGTTACTGCATATTTTTATTTAAACAAAATAAAAGAATCACAGCTACAGATTTTTTTGGGGGGATGTAAGTTTTATTTTTTATTTTATTGTAGAAATATAATACATATACTTTGTAATTCTTTGAAAAGCTTATACCATATATTAGTATAATAATATAAATGTATCTTTATTTTCAGTTCTTACATATGGAATGGATGCTATATAATTTAGAATTTTGTTCTTTTCCACTTGAACAATCAAGCTGGTTCCCTTTGTTTTTTCAAATAAATCCTTCCAAACTTTGGGATTAAAGCCTGGCCCTTTAAGAGTTGCATAGAAGAGAAAAATTGACTAGAATCTCCCACCCTAGCTTTTTAAGTGTTGTTAATCAGTAACTGCAATTCAACTTCCACATGAAAAGGAATGGGAAATGTATATTGGCATGTCAAAGCTAAATAATAGTTTGAATGACCCCAGGCTTGTTCTATGATTATAATAAGATAATCTTTTTTTTTTCAAAATTCCCAATTGATAGTTAAAAACAACCACAGGAAAGTGTAAGAAATACCAAGAATAAAAATCTATTGATAGCAGGTCACGGATGTGCTTTGTGAAGATATGGATTGCTCATGGAGTAAGTTTAATAAAATGTAAAACATGTTTTGTTCTAAACTGTCTCATGACAAAAGTAACTATCATTCTTCATCCTATTTTGTTAAGAGATGCCTTATGCCTGATATACTTAAATACTATCTCAGGAAAAACATTTACATGAGTGACATAATAACAAATTTATCAACCTATTTGGAACCTTTCTATCTTTGTTATAGCACAGTAGTCTGGTAATAGTGAGACATTCATAATCCTTTCTCCCATTTCTTTCTAGCCTATTTTGGAATACCAAATAATTTTGGAAAAGAATTGGAAAAGAATTTGAATAGATTTGTTAATGACTAAAATAAATTTGTAATAAAAATTGTACATTCCTTTAACTGTTGTCTTAAAAATTCTCCACTTTCTCACAGGAATGAATGTCTTTGCCTTCAATATGGACATTGTCAGCAATCTGAACAAAAAGTCTTTAATACAAGATATTTTCTTTTTGTTTGGAAAAAGGAAAGTCATTTGTGAAATAACTGAAAAGATTTTTTTAAAAATACATCCCAATTCAGAAACATCAATACATTTTGTAATAGTTCATGACTTTATTGCTCCAAACAGGAATATCCCAAGAAATTCTCATATATAATATCCCTAGACTTAACAGAACAGAATAACAGAGTTGGAAGTCTTCTAGTTCAACCCCCTGCTCTATATCAGTAACGGCGAACTTTTTCGGCACTGTGCCCAAAGAGCAAGCGCGTACAAAATGCAACATGCGCCCCCATGCATGTACACATAGCCCCACACATGTGCACCCCATGCATGCGCCCCACCCCTGCGCATGCATCCTGCCCCACGCATGCATCCTGCCCCCTGCGCATGCATGGCAGAGACCCGAAGACCAGCTGGCCAGCAGGAGGCGCATACACGTGTGTGGCAGAACCAAGCTGGGGCAACAGCGTATGTGCCCACAGAGAGGGTCCTGCGTGCCATCTGTGGCACGCATGCCATAGATTTGCCACCACAGCCCTATATCATTCTAAACAAATGGCTGTCCATCTGTTCTTAAAAACCTCCAGTGATGGAGCGCCTACAACTTCTGAAGGCAAGCTATTCCACTGATAAATTGCTCTAATGGTCATGAAGTTTCTCCTTAGTTCTAGGTTGGTTCTCACCTTAATTGGTTTCCATCTATTGTTTCTTGTCCTGCTTTCTGGTGATTTGGAAAGTAGGTTGACCCCTTCTTCTTTATGGCAAATGGGGCATCTTTTCAAGTCTTCACTACTTGGATGTGTGATTTAAAGTATAAAGTTGAAATGCATTTTTATTTAATTCTGTTCCAGTTCAAACTCTTTCAGGTGTTTATATTCTGAGAACAAAATATGTATTCCCAGGATATGATGCAAATGGATCTGAATGCTTTAAATACCAGCAAATATTGTTTTAAGTCTTCTAACTTTTGAGAGGTCCAAGCCTGAAAATAGTGAAATGAATGCATTGACTTGGATGAGATTTCCCTTCATGTATGTGAATAACACCACTAACCAACTCCTGGTCCATTAACAATGAATACTGTCTCTTATATGACACTAGAAATACAACAAAAATTGGTATGATTAAAAGTCAGTCAACATTTCTAGTCAACAGTGAATAATGATTCTTACTGTTAAAATTGGCAGATACATGTTTATTGCTTTATTCAGCAATATGCTTTTTATGGGTCTGTGCTGTTTTTGGATATTTGGTGACTCAACAGGGCAAAGGATATGCAGAGTGGGGATGTAAATCCTGACCAACATTTTTGTTACATGGGGATCATAATTATTGGTTTATTACAAAAATGTGTATGTTGTCTGATTCACTAGAGTCTGTGGCAATCCTATATTGGCAAGAATAGAACATTAGAAAGTAGGCAGGGGAGAAAATGCTGTTTCATCAGTCCAAAGCCCATTTGGTCCTGCATTCTGCATCACAAAGTGAACAACTAGATGCATTCAAGGAACCATAACACAGATAATGGTCTTTCATTATTGATGATCCTTTGATGATGTTGTCAATGAGTGTAGAGTGTAGTAAAGAGTAATCAAAATTCATAGCAATTTATAGTATAATCCTCCATGCTTTGATTTGATAAATTTATTTAGCTACCTATCTCATGAAACATAAGTCTAGGCAGCATACAACATATGCACAGTTAAAATCATGATTTGAACAACATAAAGGATAAAAAACAAAGAAAGTGAGACAATACAATCATTCAGCATCGCATAACCATCTTGCAGGCTCACCATGGCTGATGACCCCCAAATGAAGTCTTAAAGGCCTTCCAGAAAGTAGATGGGTGGGTCGAGAATGATGTTGCAGAAAATTGGGGTACGTGTGGGTTACAAAGACATGCCATCTGGATCCCACCATATACACTCTAGAAGACAGGACCTGCAGCATAAGCCTCATAAATTATTATTTATGAGTATTTCAGTTGGTCAAAGTACATTTGAAAAGGAGGGATAAAAATCTAATATTAATATCCAATATTTTTATTATATTAATTTTTTTATTACCTTTATATCCTACTGCAATTAAAAAAAACTGTCCCAAGTTTGAATGAATGGGCCCTTACTCTAATATCACAGAGAAGAAAAGATTATCCATATTTTCCATACTGGCTGTAACTATATATACTGTCATAAATTACTTTAACTTTTTCTGTTCAAGCTGAAAATCACTACTGTAGAATTTGAGCATTTCTACAATCCACTGTTTCAGCTCCACAAATCCTTGAATAAGCAGTCCGAAACCAGCTTGGAGTTGACCTCATTTCTGAAGATTTGAAATTTGCAGGGAACATGATAAACAATCAGAGCTTTCTGTCACTAGGAGCACACAAAACACTTAATTTGAATAATGTCTTGTTTCCTTCCTCCCCTCCAAATTTTACCATAGATTTTTGAGCAAAAAAACCCCCAAATCCTCTAAACCAAATCAATATTAAAGGGAGCAAAATAAATTGGAAGCATCCCCATCAACATTTCAGTATATGTCCAAGCATGTACTACAAGGAAAAATGTCCTGGTGGCAAAAGATGTTATTACTTTGTTGCCTTTAAAAGATGCTACAAACTATAAAGATGGAATGATGGCATATTGTATAAAATTTGCTACTTTCCCAACCATGGATACATATTGCTATGCTGGTGAGTGGACAAGATACATTCTAAATTTAGATGGCAGCCCAGCATCATATTTGTCAACTCCACTTTCTTGAGATCTGTGATGATTATTTTTCAAGGATAGGAATGGAAGTCAAAGGTCTCTGCAAGATCTTTTGGCCAGAAACCCCAAGGAATAGTCAAATAGGTGCATTTTATAGAATTCAAGGGGTAAGAATAGAATACGATCTTGCACTTCCAATCTTAAATTCCCTTCCTGCCAATTGTAGTATTCAGCCGGTTCACACCAGTTCGGGCGAACTGATAGCAAGGATTTAGCGTGGGTCACTGAACCGGTAATAACTTCTGGCTTGCCACGCCCGACGCCTAGTTGCCGCTCACTCACTTGCCCCACTCATCCGATGCTCACTCACCCTGCCCGCCTGACACTAGGCAGCCCAGACACCCCTTAAGCTATTTCCCTTTTTTCTCCTCCTGACAATCAGCTGTTCCTATGATCAGCTGTGTTAGGGATATACACCCTAGCAGAACGTGCAACGGCAGTCTAGCAGGCAGGCAGATATGTGAGACAAAACGTTGTAGTAGCTTACACTCAGTAAGACAGATACACTGTGCAAGTTAAATAGTTTTTATTCCAGCAAGAGTTATAGCATAGTCAAACGGTCCATATGTCATACACTAAGTTCAGTCAGTTCGGGGGTTATTCAGTTTGCAAAGTCCAGTGTCGAAAAAGAGTTCATTAAACTTACAATCAATCAGTCCAGTGATATATCTCTTTTGCAGTCAGAGATATGAAGAAAATCAAAACCCCTTTTCTTCTCTCAGCAAACACGCAGTTATCACCATCAATCCATCATTGTCAGCATTCCAGTAAAAGCTGAGCAAACAGTGAGCTCTCTTGCTCCCTCTTATGGTGATTTTACAACCGCACCCAAAATACTTGGTTTACAGTTTAAAGTGATACACACAATCATAGTCTCTATATATTATTTTACCCAAATAAGTTAGGTAACCAATGTCATCCCTAACAAGCTGTGCCAGGATTCCCCTCACTTACTGCTTCGCCCAGGAGGCTTCCCTGAGGCCCAGGAAGGCAAAAACAAAACAAAACCCTCCACCCCCTCCATTTTTTGTCTTCCTGAGTCCTAGGAAAGCCTGGGAGCAACCCCCTCCCCACAGGAGGCTTCCCTGAGAAGGCCCCAAAATGGGGGGGGGGATTTGCTGCAAAAAAAAGTCACACCCACCTAGTCACATGGATATGCCCCCTAGCCAC